GATCAATAAGCATCGAGTGCTCAAGCAGAAAGCCAACCTCAAGCCTAGTAACTCCAGCTGGCGGCCTAACCTTGCGACCTGCCGTCGCCACAGCATGCAACCAAATCTGTCGGCAAAGCACAGCCGTTTCACGATCAACCTTCGACCGTTGTGCTGCTGACAAATCTGGAAGGCCATATAAGTCCAATGGCCCGCGCACAGGTGGGACAACGCTACTCCCATGAGCATGTGTGTCAAACGTACCACGCGGTGGAGCACCAAGAAGATGCGACACTTTGCCATGCATGGCACCCCAAACTAGAGCGCGCCAAGCAGGAGTGCGTAGCACATCTTGGTCTGAGCCTCTGGTAATGTCCAATTCCAGGACAGCCACATTCTTGGACTCAAGGTGCGAAAAGGGTTTAGGTCCTGGGGCTCCAGCGTACAGATGAACAATCCACTCTGGGGCATTGAGCAATGCACGACGGCGACGCCGATTGAGATGCGTCAAACCCTTTAGGAGCTCCCATCCTGAAACCTGAGCAACATCCTCACCAAGTCCCTGCAAAGCTGCTTGGGGAACATCTGCCAAGAAAGGCGCGGCCTGCAACGCTAGTTGGGCTGAATTGGTAGATCCAAGGCTCACATAGTCCTGCATGTGATCCCACCAGCTCTTTGACATCAAGGCTTTGACAGCTCGGATGCGAGAGGTACCTTCGGCCACATTCTCCTCCAGAGACTTCAAGTCCTCTAGCCGCTTTTCTTCTAGCTTGCTGATTAGCACCAAGGCTTCTGATTCCATGATCTCTGGACACCCACCTTTAACCCTCCAGCGAAAGGCACGACCCGAAGGAGCAATCAAACGGCATCGCGAGGCAGTCCAATCCAAACGATACCCCAGCTGCTGGATGACAGAACCCAGCGGCACGATGGTTTGGGCACTAGATGTGGGAGGCAACAGAAGAGTACCAGCAGCAGACAAACGCATAGCCGAAGTCTCCTTTCCAGCCAGTGACACGACAACGGGGTGCGCACTAGCCCATTCAGCTTCGGAACTTGCAGCGCGAAGGGCATGAGTGGCCCCACTGTCTACCAAAGCCAAAAAACTAGGACTACCATCTACTTCCAAAACCTGCCCAGGCTCAATGGCTGTGAGATGGATGGTCTTGATGCTCGGCTTAGCCTCCTCCTGCGCTGCAGGTTTGTCTTCAATCGCCGGAGGCTGCGCGGGAGCGGCTGGGGTGGATGCAGGAGGAAAGGCTTCGGAAGAACTGGCAGCTGCAAACATCATGCGCATAAACGCTGTGAAGTCCTCCGCTCGGCCTGGGCTCGCGCCCGGCTGGATTGCAGTAGACGCCTGATCAGCCGTTGTAGGCCTGTGGCCTGCAGCATTGTTGGTGTTTCCTCCACCTGGCTGTCCTTTCCCCTTTGGGCTTCCTCCAGCTACCGGGCAGTCCTTTTGGCGGTGTGCCTCAGAGCCACATGCCAAGCACTTCTTGCTGCGCTCCTGACGAGAAAGTCCTGACATGTCGTGGCTAAACGTGCACTTAGGACCCCGCCTACACCCCGAAGTACCCATGAAAAACTTGCAGGGCTTTGAAGCCTGCGGCTGCCCACTGGCCTTTGGAGATGTTCCCGGACTGGGCGTGCCTACAGCTCGAACCTTAGGGGCACTCACACCTGTGGCCTTAGAGACTGCAAGGGCTTCCATCTCTGCAAGCAAGTGCTTGTGATACTCCAGGACTGCAGACGAAGTTGGTTGAGCATCCATTTTTAACATGTAACGAAGCATAAACGTTCGAAACTTCGCTTCTTCATGCTGCGCCAAAACTTGGCTAGTGATGGTAGTGAGGCTCTTGGACAAAATGGTCGAGTCCGGAGGTGACATGTTGCAACTTTCACAGCGATTGTACCAACGAATCCACTCACTCAAAGACTTCACGGCTGAGGAGGGATCAGATGCTGGAGTGGGCTGCATGAGATTCTTCTGAATAACCTCCTTTTCTGAACCTCCACCTGGTTGGTACGTGGTGTGCAAACGGAAAAGGATGGAAGGAGCTGATTGATTGCATTTGCGGGCCACAATGTCTGCTTTGATAGACTCGGGGACTGCCGCCATAAGCATACTACAGATCCTAAAGTTGACACGCGCCCATCGCCCTTGAAGCAACTCAGCCGGTACAACGGGCTCAACCTTTAGCCTATCCAAGGGTGATGACGAAATCCAAACCCCATAGGCCGTATCAACCACACCCAAAACCTGACGCCACCACTCTGCTGCTGTGTCCGAAACATCACCGACCAAACCCCCAATCACAACTAACCAATCTTGGTACAGAAGAGACCCTTCATCCGAAGTGAGCTCTGCCAAAGCTGGGAAACTCGAGATGCCTGGCTTAACAGCTTCAGGGTTGGTGGGAGAATTGCCGCCATCGCGTTCGGCACGAGATCCCTTGAGCATCTCTGACATGGCATCTTGAAGTTGATGCATCCCAGCAATCAGTATCTCACGATCTGTGGGTCCTGATGCACTCGCGGCTCCTGCTGGCAGTGTGCCTCTGGGTTCTGCTTGTGGCCTCTGCGGTGCAGGGCTGGAAGACCGCGCACCGGAACCAAGGAGCCCTGAGAACAAACCAGCGAAGCCCTGAGGCTCGGGAGCGGAAGGAGGCGGAGGAGGAGGCGGTGAGGATGAAGAAGGGGCAAATCCAACCCCAGTGTTGGCGACAGGATGCGAACCGAACCCACTATCACCAAACCCACTAAAGCCAACCTCCCTAGTACCCACCTGCTGCAACGCCGTAGCCTCAACTTCACCAGCCTGCTGAGACCGAATCCTCGAGAGTTCGGCCTCAGCACGACCAGCTCTCTCTTGCTCAGCTCGCAGTTGCTGCTTCAACCCATCAAGCTGTCGCGCGACTTCTGCCTGAATCGCATCATGCGGAATAGATGAGGACTCGGTGTGCGGAGGCCTGTCCGGAGACCCGGACCCGTAGAGCAAGGGAGCTCTTTGCTCCATGGCAGCAAGCTGCTGCGCGTTGGCACCAGTGAACAACGGCATCGGCACTTGACACTCATCTTGCAGGACGCGGCCTCCTCTCTCGAGGGGCTGTAGTGGTCGCGACGGCCTTGGAGGAGAAGTCAGTGGACTGGGAGCCCACCCTTGCGGCAGTGGCTGTACGTTCGCCGCGCCACCAAACAGAGACTGCACTCTTCCTAGCAACTGACTAGCAAAAGCCTGAGCCCCAGTCTGCATGACCGCTGACGCCCCGTACGCCGTTGATCTGGGCGTTTCAAAGCCCTCAGCACTACTTCCAGGATTCGCTGCAGATGGGTTGTACCCTGAGACGCCTGCGGCAACATTGATCTGAGCGCTAGCCATTCCACTTTCGGTGGCCACACTGAAACCCTGAGTCACTGCAGTTGCATCTCCATGTACCCCACTCGCATCAGCGACCTCCGTGGTAGATACTGCTTCACACGTAACGCCAGCTGTGCCCAAGCCTCCAACCTGGCCTAGTGTTCCATCGCCTCCTGTCCTACCGACTGCTGAAACTCTCGGTTGACCGGCTGTTCCAACAGTTTCTTGTGGCAGCTGAGGGGATAGCACTGGACCAGCTGTGGAAGTCGATGGCCCCGACGACGCATCCATCATAGTTTGCTGGATTCCATCCCCAATAGGCTGCGCAAGCCCAGAGGGCGATGGCACTCCAACTCCGTTCACTGTAGTCTGCGGTGCATCCCCGCCTCCCCGCACTCCAGGCAGAGAGGCCGGAGAAGCCACCGCTCCGGTTGCTTCTGGCCCAGGCGTTGGGCTCATCACCTGTTGAAGGTGTTCACCCTGGGTGGCCATACCCTGCAGCGAAGCTCACGCAGAATGTTTTCTATGGCTGGGCGCAGAGGCGACTCACGATCTCAACGAAGCAACAAGAGAACCGACAAACCAACAAACGACCTGTACAGCTTTACAAGTTGTTGGTTACAGTACACATGGCTCAAGCGGCTTTCCTACGCAGCCTTCCCCTAAGCCAAAGGATACAGGAAACACACATGTACAAGCCTACCTGAAGGAAACTATACAAGTGCCGGCAATCCCTTCAAGCAGACTACACACCTGTCTAACCTGATACCTGGGCATGCAGTGAGAAGCATTTCAACAGAACTGTTTAAAAATGTGTGTAAACATGGGTTTAAACACATTCGGGTGCAGGGAACTGTTTAAGCATGCGTTTACACATGGGTTTAAACACAGTCGGCATGTGCGACACTCACAGAACTGTTTAAACATGTGTTTAAACTTGGGTGAAAACACATTCGGCACGTGCGGCATTCAGGCAGGTGTTTAACCATGTGTTTAAGCATGGGTCTAAGTACATTCGCCGAATGTGTAAACCCATGTTTCAGCACGTGTTCATGTGTCGTTTCAATCATTTACACATGTTGGCACGCATGTTTCAACTTGGTGCCCGGCGCCGCTCTCCAAAAACGGACCCAGGAGTCTAGCTTGCGCAGGTTACTGGCGAGGCTCTCCGGTGTGCTCCGCCGTGAGCGCCAAGAAGCGTACCCTGCAGGGCGAAGCTGCAGAGGCGGCGCAGCGTCGTCACGATGGAGGGCAGTAGCAGCACGGCCGTGCGAGGAGGACCAAGTGCGGGAGCCGTGCAAGGGCAGGTCATGGCTATATGATCACTTTCATCACCGAGCCGGTGATCAAAGCCAGTACTACTGCAACAAATGCTGCAGTGGCTTTGCACGCACGGTTGACAACAAAGATGGTGTGCTGAGGCTTAAATCACTGGAGATGAAAACGACTTGTCCAAGCACCACGGCATCAGTAAAGATGACCCTGCTGAGAAAGTCCGCCCAAGCGGGCAAAGGAGTTTGCAGCGGTTTGCCTCGTACCCGAAGGCTGAGAACCAGGAGCTCCTGAACCTCTTTGCCACGGAGCTCCACATCCATGGCCTCTGCGAGCTCACGATGGTCGAATGTCCTGGTGTTCAAGCTTTTCTCGAGAGGCCAGACCTTAGGTTGAAGCTTTGCAGTCGGAAAAGATGACCGAGAAGGTTTTGGTCCGTTGTCTCGACGAGTCGGAGCACTACCTGTTGAGGCTGCTGTGCGAGGCTTTGGAGGACAAGTCTTGTGTCATGCACTATCGCGGAGACTTGTGGACTGCTGCTTGGACCGGGCAGCAGCACCTTTGTCACTGCTTGCAGTTCGTCACTTCTTCGTTTGAGCTGCGGGCGGTCTGCGCCAGCCACCAACCGTTCGACCAGAACAAGACGGCAGTCAATCAGAAGGCTGCCATCCACGGCAATTTCGAAGATTCGAGGTTCCGATCCAGCAAGGGTGCCTTACTACAGATTCTGAAGCCGCTCTCGAAAAGGCCAGTCCCAGCTCCCAAGGTTACTGAGTTAAGGCTTTTTTACGGTTAGTTTAAGCTTTCGGCCTTAGGGTTGAGAACAGGTCAAGGGTTCAAGGTTTGCAAGCCCCATGTACATGTTCCCAGCTAAATTTTGCGGAAGTTGGGGATATATAGGGTCTAGATCAGGACTTTTGGGACCTAGGGTTTTGGGGCCCCTTCTTTGGGTGTGAGGCAGCAGAAGACTACTGTCAGCAGTGCACCCGCGGAAGACACGAGTACTTGCGAGTGCGAATAATTTGTGGGGCGCATCGCCTTCAACTCCCCCCGAAGCATCAGTTGCTGACACGAGGATCCGGAGAAGAGACAGGCTCGCTTCGCTCACCAGAACGTCTACGACCTTGTCAGGGATGCAGGACCACAGTCGGTTATTTCGCGAGGTCGTGCAAGCAGACACAAGTGTTGCAGCAGTTCAGCAATGAGTTGGGAGAGCCAGAGAGCAAGTTTGTCACGCGCTGCGAGACTCGCTGGAACTCCACTTTGGACATGCTTCGCTCTCTGTGGTCCCTCGTGTGGTCGTAGACCCGCAGCTCTTGTACCTTATGCCACCATTTTAAGTTTTGGTATTCAAACCCCAGGCAGCGGCGGCAAAGCTTGTGCAAGTACAGCGTGCAGAGCCCGGGCTGGACCGAGAGGCACATGCTTGAAATCCGGGTTACGACCGGGGTGTTGTCGCCCGTCGCCATGGGCACCGACATATTACAAGGGGCAAAGTATGCCACTGCGAGCTACTTCATGCCGAGATTGCAAACCATTCTGCAAAGTCTGCACCCGCAGACTCCTGTGTACGTTTGCTCCCACACCAAGGACTGTGGCAAGCCTTTAAAAGCAGCTTAAGAGCCCTAAGCCCTCCGTTTTAGCACTTCGAAGTCTTCAGTCTTGAGCCCTGACCCTCGAACATGTCTCCACTTGTCGCCAGGACGAGATCGCCGTTGCGCAGTCGGACCTGATGCCTGTCGCGGCTACACTGCGGCAAAGATTGCGGGAAGAGTATGTGCAGTGCGAAGAACAGCTGACCCCCCGAAGCGAGGGGGATGCTGTACGTGGCGGCGATGTGCGATCCGAAGTTCAATGGCTTGGAGTGGCTTCCAGGGTGCTCCGCGCAGGAGCTGAAAAGGGAGCAGCATGCGGCTTTCAATGTGAGGCTCGCTGCAGTTGCAAAAGCCCCAACTTTAAGCAACTTTAAGCAGTAGTTGTAGCACGTCAGATTTTGTGTGCCCTGCAACAAGTCAGATGTTTTTATCCCTTGTAACAGTACTGCTACGGCTAAGCAGATCAGGCGCCTGCAGTCTGGCGGACACGTCGACATAATCACTGATGCATTGCCGCTTCTATACATAAGGTACATATGTCGCAACACCCCCAGCCCTCAGGCTTCTTTTCCAGAAGGCCCTACCAAACAATCACAAGTTTCTGAGAACCAAGCCGAATGCTGGCAAGGACTAGGAATGGCTGAGATGCCTGGCCTGCGAAGCGTTCGTCCGGCCAAGATGTGCACGTAGCAGCCAACCGATCTGAAGTTTTGTCGCTCTGCAAACAAGTCCCCCTTGAACCCTCGATCCACGGTCCACGGAAGTTTGGTTGCTTCTCAGAAAACATACGTTTTTCGAGGGGAAAGGTGCAGATGTCCGAGTTACGGAAAGCGTGTGGCTGATCTTTCGTTCTGAAACGCTCGACCTTAAACTCGTCGTGCAAGTTGTTTTTCGATTTGGATATGAAGCGTGATGCGCAGGGCTTTATGCCGGGTTGCTGTTAAAGCTTGTTGTTAATGTCTTGCTGTTCAGTGTGAGGGCCACGGCTTTGGCGAGTTGGCGACAAAGGACTAACCCTACTCAGCTGGCTAACAATGTTGGGGACAGAGAAAATTCGGTCCTGGTCATGTGGCTCGGAAAGGAGCACTACTGCAGCGCTACAAGCGCGCGCTCAGGCAAACACAAAACACCCACACACACACAGACAAATATGCAAGTACCCACCAACGCACAATAGAAATTACACGATCCAACCTGTTACATACGGTTTCAGCTTCCATACTTTGTTTCTTCTGCGTCCCGTGTGGTACCCGCCGTCGCCTGCCCCACACCCCCTCCCCCCGACTCCCCCCAACACCGAAGCCGTCCAACACCGCTCGCACCCTCATGCTTGCAGCCAGTTGTCTCCATGCGACATAACGATCGGCGATACACGAACAGATGGAGCATGGTGTCATCATGGTGTACTTCTTCTCGTCCCACGAACCCCCAGGACTTTAGTTCCCGAACGAGAAGACGAGGGGTTACAGCGAGATGTTCCAGTCTCTCTGCACACGCTGTGGAAGTGGCCACCTTGCGTGCCTCCCGGGTGAGTTTCTGCAATGCTGCGCCCTGAGCCATGAAACGACTGTAAACGAAGGAGTCAGTCTGTATGCTAGACAGGCCATCGCTGTGCGTGCCCGACTCAAGATGCCTTGCTATGTACTGATCCAGTAGATCTTGACGTCGACCGTGCTGATGCACGGAGTACTGCTGGAGTGCTGGAAAATCCACAGTCTCAGACAGAATTGATTGCGTGGTGCGGCGGTACCTCGTGACGAGGTACGAGTTAGGACTATGTGTGCTCTAGCCCGTCCATCTTTCCTATACCGAAATCATCGTAGGTGTTTCGGTGTGGCGAGGAAGAACCTTTCTCTCCCAGCCGAGGTGCGATGGCGCAACATTTCAGTTCTCTTGCCTTTGGATGACACCAGGCAGCCGAGAAGAGCATCGACTTTCTGATAAAGATATTGCGTCGCCTGCCGTGTGTTGGGCGTGGAGGCATGCGCGGTACATATGAGCTGATCGTATTACTCTGCAATGTCACTCACAACACCCCGCTGGAAAGATTGCCGTCAGAATGATACCAGTGCGGATCCCTTTCTAGATCCTCAGTGAACGTTCTTGAGATCATGGATCACCTGTAAGCATTCCTTGCGCGAGTTCTAGCGGAAGAACAGTGTGACTGGGTGCGAGAGAATTGCGGAATGAAGCGGTGTATCCCCTGCGCATGGTTTACCTTGTCGTCCTCCATTATTGTGAGTGTGGCCGCCTTGCCCATGATAAGGCAGACGACACGCTGCTTCAATTGATCATAAGGTTTTTCTTGTCACGACATTACTCTATTGTGGGGATGTTCTCGAATTTCAACTCCTGCATCTCCCTGGCGTTCCCGAAACTCCGCCTGCTCGTGAAATCGTAGTTCACACAGCTTTCGCCGACGATGAACCTGTTCCAGACGTCTGCGACGAAGTGCCCACTGTGCTCCATCTCCTGAATCCGTCCATTGGCGGCATTCCGGGCCAGCTCCCCACTTCCGAAACTCACAGCGGTCTAGGAAAACGCCGCAATCAAGCGTAGCGGAAGCGAGACCCCCGAACTGCCCTTTCCATCGCCGCCCTGGGAGACCTGGAACCAGATCTTGCCGGTACATTGCTTGAATGCCGCATGAATTAAGCACATATTCAATTGGAACCAGTGTGCATTGTCGAAGTGGAAAGATTCGAGAAATGTGCGCAGGCGATTGCGAGCGAAGTTGATGCCCAAATCGGGATACGACTCCATGACGTTCTCATAGAAAGAGACACAATCAAGCTTCGGATAGCAGTTAGCCTGCGGAGACTTGGGCACAACTTCCCAGTTGTCGTTGAAATTTACTCAGATAGACGTCTTTGAAGTTTGACGGCGTGGGCATGTCGCACTTAGTCAAAAAGAGCTTGGACAGTTTGTTTCCACGCTGTGCATTTTCCGAATTTCTCGAAGTTGGAGCCAACATATCTGCTCTGCGTGGCCAGTGTGTGCGCCAGACTTTATTGCCTGTTGTGAGACGAACATGATTGCTATGTTGCTTAGCAGCATCCGCGAGACGTGCTCGAACACGATCATCTGCTTCAGTCATTCGCCTAGGATCTCTGCAATGTAGGTGCCTGCCTCTACACAGAACCATCTGATCTCTGGCTGTACATCCTCCACGTAGACAGCCAGACTGCTTCAGAGACCCTCTGCAGCCATCAGAGTGGACCAAGCCTTGACCTCCAGCGAAGCTGCCCGAACCCATGCACAGCCCTCGTACGCAAAGTGGAGAGCATGTATTCGGCAGAGTCGATGTACTTACACAAGCCCACAATGTCTTGGACTTCGAACCCGGCCGTCTGGAAAGCTTGCCTACTCCATTGGCGGTAGTCATTTACCAGCCTTAGCGTAGCAGGTTCTGCTGGTGACCGAGGAGCTGGCTGTTGCGGTGGCTCCACTGCACGACTTTCAACTTGTATCTGCTCGAAAACACGAAACCTGAGGCCGACATAGAAACAAACAGGTCGAAAAAGTGGTTTTATGCTGTAGCAATTAAGAGCGGCACATATCTGGACCTCCCAATCTCTTTGCTGGTGGTTGAGATCCGTCCCCATCGCCAACCATTTCCTCCATGACTGTTTCGAGTTCATTTTCCAGCGTATCTGGAACGAGAGCTGAAGACATGCTTCGGATGCGGTCAAAGCGTAAACAGATACCTGCGAGATCGTGGTAAGCTGAACGGCAGCAGAACCCGAGCAAGATTGCAGCGAGTGCAATCAAATCGCTTCAAAACATGACGGCCATGGCCGCCGAACCCTGTGTTACGCCCACCGCCGCCTCCTACAGCTCCCGAGGCTGGGCCCGAGGAGCTCACCGCTGGTCCCTTCTGTGCCCAGCCCTTTTTGCAGATGCCATGCTGAAGCAGAGTCAGGCGCTGGGGCACGTCTCGTGGCCCAAGAAAAAACTGCGGGCGATGCGGCCCTCAGTGGAACGATCGGGGCGCTACTACTGGGAACCCGGAATGCCTCAAAGCAAAAGCGGCTCCAGGCAGCTGGCCGCCGGGAGTGGAGGCTTCTTCTTGCAGGTCAGCCAACAAGCTCTGCGCCGGCTGGCTGCTTCCGAGCAAGCCCCTGCCACACGGCGGGAAGATCTGATGAGTCGAGGCCCCCTTTTCACTTCGTATGCCGAATGCTTCGATGGGAACCAGAGGTCGCTGGGCATTGTGTTCTGGCTGCTTTCCAACATGACATAGCAGACACAATGATTACGGGCGACTATGTGGGGGCCGAAGAGTTGGTGGCTCTCAGCTTGACAGCGGTGGAGCAAGCTGCTCAAGGCAATGGTGCCTGGGACATTGGCTATTTGCTCAGCCTTCACAAAGCCTGGGACTTCTTAAGCCTGTTTTTTTTGGGTTTAGGAGGTTCCCTAACCTCCTGGGAAGTAGGGGACCTCACCCGGCAATCGCAGCACACACCTGAGAAGCCAATAGCAGGCAGCGGCTTACCCACTGGCGTCGGCCCGGCAGAGGGACGGCCCTCTTGCACCAGGAGGAAGGCTGAGGCATTGAATTGGCGAGATCCGCTGACAGTGGGTTGGTGGTGCCGCCTCCAAGCCGCCGGGCTTCCTGGTGCAAAGCCTGTGCCTGGGTCCCTTCGCTTCCTATAGAACGTTGAAGTTCTAGTCGCGAATTGAACAACGGCTCGAAGGGCTCACTGGTCTTAAGTCCCCAATCAGAGAAAGCCAGCAACCATGAACGAAGCGCCGATGCGTAAGCTCTTTTTGCACTAGACCAAATGCTCGGGACGGTGATGATAGGCGCTTGCCTTCTTTACACTATACAAATGCGTACCGGCTCTGGCGCTAGGTCTTGCCGTGCCATGAAGCTTAAACCACACGGCCATAAAAACACATCATGCCACACAGGGAGGGCACATGTTTCTGCACTCCTCCTTGATGATGCCGTTAGGCTATGCATCACCCCTCATTTTCTGCCCGACATGGATGAAGTCCTGTGACTCACCTATTGTAGATGCTGCGTCCACCATTCTCAACGCAACACCTGCAGAGTCGAAGAGCTTGGGCCCTGCCAGTGTTTCGCAATCCCCAGCAATTTCCATGAATGTGAAGAGCATCTGTTCCCGGTACATGGTGATATGGGCCCGCAAAGGTCTCGACTCTGACTTCCGGGATTGGTTCCGGTCGCAGTTGATAGTCCTTTTGGACTCCTTGATCCCGGGTTGGTGGTTTATCCCTTCTATTAGATGACGAAAAAGCCTGCGGTGTCAGGCACTGTAGGAACCGGAGAGGTATTGGAGGGCATTGTAGTCTCGAACAGGTCCCGAAGGTAGAGGAGTCTTACGCCCTGAGCGTCCGTTGGGTCGCTCGGGTCAAGAGCTAGGAGCCGTTGAAGCTCTTTAAGCTCACTCCTTGATATCTTGCCATAGCCAGCTCTCGCCCTCAAAGCCCGCAGTCTCACATCACTTCCCCGAATACATTTCTTCGAAGTCTCCCAGAGGAAGATGACCACAATTGCAATCACCAACACAACCACGTATAGATCCCAGGGAATCTCAGTCTGCAACTGACCGGTTTCTGAGCGAGCTCCGCAAACTTGGCAAAGCATCAACAACTTCATCAACCAGGAATTATTCGTTGTAACCGCCCGGATCGTAGGTTGCATATCTGGTCGGCGACCAACAACATTCCAAAGTCGCAAAAGCTGTGACAACCGCTCTTTAGGGAGTGGCTTTGTCCCTAAGTCTGCCCTTTGGGTGATTCCAGGCTCAAAAACAACTTGGAGCTCCTTCTGGTGGATCTTCTCCTTCACAAAGTTAGATCGCAAGTGGCGTGTACGCCATGAACCCGAGGAACCTTATAGCAGCATCACAGCCGATTGGTTGTCAATGTGAAGGTAAAGAGATAAAGGCTTGCCACTCAACTCCTCAAGGAGAGTCTTGGTAGAGCAACCCAGTATGGTACCGTCCACCCTCAAGCAACTCTGACTCTGCGGTTGACAGAGTGACTAAGCTCTGTCTGGAAGACCTCCACGCTATCGGATTGTTGTTGTAGAACACGGCGGCTGCTCCATGGCTACGGCCTGAACTGGGAGCGAAGCTGGAATCGGTGAAGCCGTGGATGGCATCCAGGGATTCTTCATTGTTGGAAAACCGGATCCTGTAATGGAGGGTCTCGTGAAGGTAGTTTAGGACTCGGTTCGCAACCTGGTTGACAATCTCTGGGCATCTGGTAATGCTCGACGAAAGCAATGCCGTAATATATTGAAGATCAGGACGTGTGCGGCCTGTCAACCAGAGAAGCTCCCCGACGACCCTTTGGGCCGCCTTAACTTGATCTTCTTTTCCGCTCAAGTCCACGGGCTGCGCCAGGATCATCGCCTCCTCCTCCCCAAGGGTTAACACCATAGTTTCCTTGGTACCTGGAGTCTTTGACTTAGAGCCATCATGTCCGTGGGATCGTAGTAGTTCACGTACAAACCCTTCCTGAGCAAGCTCCACCCCATTGACAACGAGATGAAACTCCATGCCCAAGAACCTGATGGGGTGGTCCTCTTCCAAGACGTCCAAACTATCACATTCCCATCTGGAAGCTACCCAACCGCAGAACGTGTCCATCACGGTGGGCACGGCATTTATCAACAGGTCATCAATGTAGACCATTAGGTAACCAAGAGGTTCTTGATCACCATTAACTCTAACGATCTTCCAGACCTGGTCAGTCCGGAATTTGGAAGGGGCCTTCCGAGGAACCGTCAAAGCTCGCAGCAACTGACCAAGTCGTTGAGGGATATTACCGGGCCCTTTTGCCTGGAATTTTTCGCGGGAGCATCTCGCATCACTTCATCACTTCTGCACTCATTGAACGATCCATTAAATGCGTTCCGATTGATATCTGCATTTCCTCTTCTCACAACGTATGCATTCGGATGTTGAGCATCGTCTTCTCAATTGGGGTCGTTCTGGCAGAGTCAAGTTCGTTTGGATTGGTATGCCTAGTACATCTTTTTCGGCGATTAGAAGTGATGGTGATGCAAGGCCCGACGCGCTCCGCTTGTACGACGAGCCTTTTGGCGTGTCAGGGCTGTCCGCTTATGGATCCTCCAAAGTCAAACTGGGTAATGCAATCTTGTACTTCAGCATCAGACTCATGCGAGTGTGTCAGGCCATGCAAGTTCCCTTCGCCTTTGAAAACCCTCGATTCAGCCGCTTGGACGATGCCGCCTATGAGAAAATTCATTTGGGAGGTACAGCCTTGCTCGGTAGAGTTGGATTACTGTCAGTACAATGAACCTTATGGAAGCGACCTACTACCGTCATGTACAAATTCACTGACCTTCACGGCGTTGCAGTGCAGTGTAACAGCACCTACGGCTGCTGCTCGAAATCCCACCGGCCTCATGTCCCCCTCACAGGACTCGCGGATGATGGCATCTTCATGACCCTCAAGGCTCAGCCGTATCCTGTGAAACTCTGTGAGAAAGTTCCGGACATTGTGGCCACAGCCCTGTAGGGATATGGGAGCGAAAAGTTGGGCTTCGTTTGCTTCGCATGCCTCAGCTCTTTTGTCATACCTCCATCGAGCTCCTGTTGTCATCAACTGGGGAGCCCGCTTCGAGATGATTTCAAACAAACCACTGAGCTACTGCTCGCGTCTGGCCAAAAGTGAGACATTCATCTAAGTCATATCTCCTGCTTTGCAGGTTCTTGACGGCGCGTTCAGATGCATCCGCCGTTTGGCCGTCTGTGTCAAGCCTTTTAAGTGTGCACCTCCGCCGCCCCACCTCCTCCAAGGGGAGCAAAAAGTTGGGCTACGTTTGCTTCGCATGCCTCAGCTCTTTTGTCATACCTCCATCGAGCTCCTGTTGTCATCAACTGGGGAGCCCGCTTCGAGATGATTTCAAGCAAACCGCTGAGCTACTGCTGGCATCTGGCCAAAAGTGAGAGCGATGCATTCAGCTCAGTCATAATATTGTTTCTTCGAGTCTTGCTCTTCGGCCTCGTCTGCAGGTTTGTTGCTGTAGAGCTTGATGCAAAGCCTGGTGTGGATGGTGTCGACTGCCGGACTCCTGGTATCGAAAAAGATTCATGTGATTTTTTGTCCCACATCTACATCGATCTGCTCCCCTAGCTCCACATCCCTTACGCGCCATCACGCAGGACGCACTCATATCTAAATCGAGGTTGCGTTGATGGGAACTGTGCTCGAAAACGATGTATGGCGACACAATAGCTCAAGAATGAATGCAAGATCCACGAGTTGTGGTAGTCAGAAGCCCCCACCCCCGCCCCGGCGGGGGAGAGGGGGCGGGGACCCCTTATAGCCTCAGTAAGTGGGATTCTGTTGTCTGCAACAGATCCTGCGTTTATATCTTTTAAGTGCGTGAAAAGTATATGTACATATGTTAATGTAGGAACCTGATTAAGAAACCTTGCGCCTTTATCAGGGTTCCTTTTTGTGAATCCTACTATTCTGGGGTTTTAGGCCCAAGGTTTCTTAATCAGGTTCATACGCTACATATGCATACATGTTTTATTGATCTGACATGTGGATGTCGGCATGTTTTAGTTCTACTTCATCACTATTTAAGCAACCCTACATCCAACTAACATTTGACGACGCCGCATGGAAGAAGTTCGGACGCCACCAAGGTTTCATGTTCTGTAAGGCTTTCCGTGCACGGGCTCTTGGAATAACTTGCTTCTTGGGAAGGATGTGTTGCCCCGAAGCCAGGCCGCAGATCATCTATGCCCTCATCATCCGAGGTGTGGGACGGGAAGCCCCAAGAATTGCCGGCGTGTTGCACTGAAGAGGCCAGCGGGTCGTTCTGGCCGAGTACACGGCCCTCGCCGGCAACTTTCAGCAGGCCGCTGCCCCTGAATCGCGCCGCGGCTCCGTAGCGGTATGCTAAAGGCGACCATTCAGATCCTCCAGAAGCTGGAGAGCACTTCAGAGTGGAAGAGCTACATTTACGGTTCTCGGCTCGGCTCCAGTAGACCGGAAGGCGGAAGGAGGGCTGACTGATGTGAGGCGAGTATGCCTTCCACTACATCGTGGATCAGACCCTGAACCTCTGGCCCGGAGCCGGGGAGGGGTTTAGAGCGGCTTTTTTTCTCGCATCCTGGGCGCAGAGGGGTCCCCCGGCTGCAGGTTCGTGTGCATGGCTGAGCGGCTCCTGGGCCGGCGCATCCCCTTCGGCTTCCTGCAAGCGGTCCAGGAGCCGAGAGAGCCGAGAGAGTCTGTGCGCTGCAAACCGCGGTGACCGTCAGGACAGCTTCTGCGGGTGCTACGGACATGAGCAGGTGGAGAGCGCCATCGCCTATGGCATGCAAGGGGACTTCCGGGAGCAGCTGAAGACCCTCATGGAGAAGTACAACTCTCCGGAAGTGGACCGCGTGGCCTCGATGATGGCCAAGGCCAGGAAGCACGTGGCTGCGGGTGGCGGTGCGAGCGGCCTGCGGCGAGGTGCAGCACATCAATGACCACCTCATGGACAGCATCGACAAGATCCTCGAGCGGCAGGTGAGACAGATCTCAAACTTGCGCGAGAAAGAGCCGTGCGCTGCACATGGCAGTGTGCATCTGTGCATCTATTCAGGAGAAGATCGACTTGCTGGTGCACCGCAGCGAGGTTCTCTCTGCGTCTGGGCCCCGCCTTGCAGTCTGCCACTGCGCAGACTGCACTGCGCTGCGGGCGTCTTCTCTCAGGTCCGCCAGCAGCTTTCGGCGGGATGCAGAGCACCTGCGGCGCCGAGTCTGGTGGCAGAACGCCAGGACGATGGCCGTGATGGCCTGCGTGCTGGTCTTCGTCATCCTGGTCGGAAGCTCAAAGAAGAACCGCAGGGCTCAGAGCTCAGAGCTCTCTAAGACGCTAAGAGCAGCGGTCCGGTTTGCGACGGTTTTTTTCATGGAGTGGCGGAGCGGCGCAAACCGCGCGGCACGGCCTCCCTCTCTGCAGGTGGTGGTGCTGTCCTCCTGTGGCTTCTCCCTCTCGCACTGCTGAGCCGACAGACAAAAAAAGATGCGCGCGGCCCCTGCGGCCCGGTCCCTGCGGCCCGGCCCCTGGCCCCTGCCCTGCTTAGAGTGACGTGACATGACTGCTTTGATGCTTCACGCTTTCGCAGCGTTGGCTTAAGATCACACATAGAGTGTGGGCGGACGGCGGAGACATCTCTTCGCCGGCCACTCGGTCGCAGTCCTGGGAATGAAGAATTGAAGGCTTCTGCCAAAACTTGGCACGATAAGCAGTGCTTGGCAATGGAACCTTGGCCCAATGTTTCATGAAAGCGCCTATACTGCCTATCGCGTTCGCAGCTGAGGTCCGAGATTCTGGCTCATGGACGTGGTGTCGCCACTTGGGGAAGATTTCTCCGTCTCGCCACGGCCCTTTTTGGGTGTCCCCTCGCTGGCCGTCGCTGTGCTCGTCTCCAGACTCACATTGACGTCCAGGTGAGTTCTCTGAGTGAGTCTCTCACGTTGGAGCGAGACATAGAACCGGAGATCGGGATTCTGGCATCACCGCTTCTCTCCGAGTGGATGTGGAAGAACTGCACGCTGCAACAGAACCACCACGCACAACTGCGAGCTGACAGAGCAAGTGCAAGCAGTGTTTCCAGCTGATTGCGTGCAGCGTGACCACTCTCCTGGTTCTCGCACCGCAAATCCCAGAGCCCTCTAAGTCTCAGAGTCGCCAGTGTTCGCAGAAGTCACAGAGTCAGCTACGGTCTGAGCCAGGAATACCTCAGGCAGTTAATTTCAGACCCGTCTTTCGTGAGTTGAAATGCAAGTTGGGAGTATGAGAAGTTTGAGATTGAAGAACAGACAAGGCGCCTGGTGAGGCTCAAGCGCCTTTGTCTGAGAGCCAGGCAAGTCTCGCCGCACGCTCCGCACGGTGCCGCTGTGTGCCTTCCTGAAGCAGAGCTCCCGTGCACGCCCGCCTGCCCTGCCTGCGCCGCGCCAGAGGCTGCAATAGAAGTGCCTTGGCCCAGGGACTCCCCGCTGCTCGGAGCCCTTGGCCTCCTTGGCCTCCTTGGCCTCCGGCCTGAGCGACGGCTTGCCTAAGGGCGGGGTGACGGCCTTGCCTTGGGCCCCTTCTTGGACCCCTGAGCCTCAGCAGCAGAAGGGCACTTAAGGGTGCTTTAGTGCTTTGCAGGCTTTGCAGGCTTGGCTGCTTTGCTCCTCGGTGTGAAGCGGAGGCGGGTCCGTTGCAAGGCTCTTTGCAAGGGAGCTCGTGAGCCTTCGCACCGTCTCAGCTCGTGTGGGCCGCATCAAGGGCTCATAAAGGGCCTCGTCCTCGTGCTACAGAGATCTTCAGAACACAGCAGTCCGTGCAGGTAAGCAGAATTTGGAAGTGAGATTCTTGAAATTGTCAGTTGACGCCATCCGATGGCTTTCTGCTATAACTAAACCTAGCAGTGAGCGGGCTGCAGTCCTCGGACATACAGCTACCAATATCTCGTTTCCCGCATGGCAAGCACTCCACAGGCAGGTTTCGAGGTGCAACCAAGAAGATGGATATCTTTGACGTGACTGTGCCGCAAGGCCTTCAGGAAACTCTCCATCAGAATCAGCTTCCGAGAGTCGGTGCCTTTCCAGCCTTACCAACCTTCCGAGCCTCCGGCCCCTCCGGCCCCTCCGGCCCCTCCGGCCCCTCCGGCCCCTCCGGCCCCTCCGGCCCCTCCGGCCTTGGCATTCGCATGCCTTTGCTTTAAGCAAAATCCCCATGCAAGCCTTTCTGCACCTTTCAGCCGCTCTGTTTGGAGCTGGTGCGAGGAGGGCAGCGTAGCCAAAGCTGCCAAAGCTGCAGCCATTTGCTAGCCTTGGTTTCTTCACTTGCACGAGCGCGAGGGTGCTGCAGACAGCAAGCCCAGTCCCCCGCCAGGCCGCACCATAGCTAGCAGGTTAGGAAAGGCTCCTGCATGCTCGGCCTCGGCAGGTTCGCGTCGGAGCTAGTGAAAAGGAGGCTGCTGGAACTCTAGGCCTCTCGCCGGACCGTCCCAGCTGGCAGCTTGCAATTCGGCGCACCCCTTCTGTCATGCCTGAGCAAGCTCCAGCTCGAGTCTTCCAGCGTGAGCCAAAAGCAGCGGTGAGCCGTGCCCCAAAGAGGCGACTAAGGCCTGTCGCACCTAGGCAGAGCACCGTCTTTTTGAGGAGGGAGACTTAAGCGTTCGGCTCCAAGCGGCTTGAGCCTCCGCCTTGTCGGTGGGCTGGTTGACCTGGGCCTCTTAACGGCGACCTCACCACAAATCTGCAGGTCCAGCGGCCGAACATGTCAACACCGCTGGCGAAGTGCTACCACGACCCAGACTACCCATTCGCATGCACAGCTTGAAGACTTGGAGCCTAGCAGACAGCCTTGCTCTCCCTGAAACGATGGGATTTCCCAGCCGCGTGACTCATGTGAGTTAGTCGCGAGTGGCTTGAGCTGAGGGGCTACAATCGGGGGCGTTCTGCCTCCCCACGAAGCCATGTTTCAGCGCTGGCAGTGGCCATTCTTCCAATCAAACAGAGCGCAGAGCACTTGAACCCTGTGGCCGTGGAAAGGATGTTCGAAGCTCGCGCCGGGAGCGTGTAGACTGGGTAGACGGGTAGAGCGGGTAGAGCCAGAGCGGCTCCAGCAGCTCCAGCGGATCCAGCTTCAGCAACTCAGATCAGAGTTTGGGACGCGGACGCAGCGAAGCCACCTGGCTGCCGAGCTCCGAACTCCGCTGCGGAGCTCTGCTGCATAGAGGTGAAAGGTGAAAGGCAGCTGAGCTACTGCGGAGCCTCTCCAGTGCTGCCCGGTGCGGCGGGATGAGCCGATAGGGGCGTGAGCCTCAGCGTTTCCGGGCTTCGGGCCTCGGGGCGCATCCCCCGGCCCTCAAGTCTCAAATCGTAAGAACAGTGATCCTGGAGAGGAGTTTTTCAGAAACGCACTGAGCTTCGCTTTATTGGCAGGGGAAAGGGGCCTAGCCAAAGAGGGGGTCACAGTCACAGTCACGGCAGGGATAGGGATAGGTCGGATAGGGATGAGGGCAGCTAGGACCTGCAAGGAGGGCGACAGAGGCGACAGAGTCTTTCTCTTTCTTTCATCTCTCTGGCACTCTGGCGCCAACAAAGGCCCAGGCGGCCTGGGCCTAGTGCACTACGGAGCCCGGGCTGAGGGGATCGGCCGCTTGGCGCGGATAAGCCCAAAGTTGCAGCGTGTGGTGCTGCCGCGTGCTGCTAGCATGATGGAGCCGATGGAGCCGATGGAGCCTGGAGGGAAGTCGACTGGGCGGCCTTTCAGTTTTCGCCTCCGCATCGCTCTCTCGCTCTCGCTGTTGGAGGAATGCTGCAGTTGACCACTTCGCGCAACTTCGAGCAGCGTTGGCTTTGCCGTGTCGTGGTCTTCCCTTTGCCTTCTTCTCGTCCGGTCTCCGTCCCGGAGCCCCACGCGGCCCACGCGTCGCATGTGGCCCTCTGACGCCCTGGTCCTCCTCGTCCTCCTGTTCCATGCGTTCCATGGCAGTGGTCGCGGCGAGTGTTTAATCCTTGCTTATAAGAGGACTTTGAGAGAGAAGTTTTCTGAGAGAGTGGGGCAAGGAGGCCAAGCGCCCCCCCGAGCCCCCGAGTCCCGAGTGCGAGGCCCACAGCGCCGAGGCCCGTGCCGCAGCCGTGAGGTGAGATTTGAGATCACTCGGCTGGCAGCCACTGGCAGCCTGCAGCGTCATGCCGTGGTGGTCCCCCACGGAAGCCGGCCGGCGGGGCCCCCGCCTCTCGCCGCACCGCTAGAGCCTAGGGCGCTGCAGTGACAGCAGTACGTGATTCAGCGAGGCTGAGCGAGGCGGGGAGGGAGGACGTCTTCTGCAGCCTCTTTGACGGCTCGCGGCCTCCGGGCTACCTGCTGATGCCACCGCAGGCCTTCGTGCTGAGCCTCGCGCGATCGTTTCGCCTCGGAAGCAGCTCGCTGCACGCCTTCGAAGTGCCAGCACTCTCAGAGTCAGCCAGCGCCAAAAAGCCCGGGCCAAAGTCTTAAGATGCACCGCAGCTGCACAGGCTGCACAGCAACACACGAGGCACAGTGACAGCTGCGGCATTCTTCCGCATCCAGCAAAGACCAGGGCGCCTGGGACACTTTGCGATGCGACAGCGCGGCGACAGCGCGGCGACAGCGCGCAGCGGCGCCGCGGCTGCGTGGGTTGTGGCGGTCGGAGGCACGGTGAGCGGAGCAGAGTTGAAGTGTTGAAGTCTTCGTAGGCAGAAGGCCTGCCTGGCGTGCCTCAGGATGTTTCTTGAAAGCGGGTGCCCTTTCCTTGACAGGCGAGAGTACAGGGAGACGCTGGTATGAGGGAGAGAGGTTCGCAAAGGCCTCCGCAGGACTCCTGCTCTGCAGCTGTGCCAGAGTCCCATGCAGCCGGTGCAGGCGGGCAGCTGCCCGGAAGTCGGTTGTGGCACTAAGTCACTGAGCTTTCCAGCTTTAAGTTGAGCGTTAGCTGAGCTTGAATTGCGAGTAGAGCTGGGCATGCTGCTGGCATTCCTCGATCTTCGGCCCCTGCGAAGCTTCTAAGAGAAGGCTTTGAGAGCTCTTGACGCGGTAGCGAGACAGAGCCGAGACAGAGTGCAGACTGCGCCGAGCCGAGACAAAGCCTCTCAGAAGCGGAGTTCGAGACGAAAGCGGTCTAGCCGCAACCGCTCTCTTGGCTCCAAGCTGAAATCTCGATCTCCGACTCCGTCTCTCCTTTCTTGCGGAAGGGACCGGCGCTGTTCGCTGAAGCTCTAGACCGCTTAGAAACGGACGACGTTCGGCTCCTCGCAGCGCCGGGCCCAATTAGGCTTCGGCCCCGGAGCCCCAGCACTCCAGGCACTCCATATGCTGCACTCTGATGGCTCCCCATGCCCGCGCCTTCGAAGCGCTTCCCTTCCCGCGCCGGGTGACATTGCGCTTCCTGCTCGACGTCTCACAATCTCCGTTTTCCCCCCCCACACTGCCGCTCTCAACTTGAGCATCTGAGCCTGACCAAGAGTTGGAGCCTGTCCCTATCGCCCACAAAGCTCCCGTGGCTTTCCAGAAGTGAGTGGCAGCACATGTCCAAGTCTGAACAACGACTGCCAAAGCTGAACCGCAGCTGGAATGGGCGAGTGCACCACGAGGACCAATCGCTCTGCTCCGACTGCCGCATGCACGGCACTGTGAGCAGGTCGACGGTATGCATCTCCGGCTCTGTGGCAGCGCCGAATCGTCGCGGACGGAGCGGCTCCAGCCGCGCAGCCAGCGCAGCCGGCGCAGCCAGCGCAGCCGGCGCAGCCCGTGTTTCGGAAGACCGTGGGCTGTGAGCACCCGACTGTCGAGCGCCACAGCACCACGATGAATTGTGAGCTCTGCGACATCACGTATCAGACTTCAGCCAGAAGGAGGCTTTCACAGGGCTTGCGTGGCTTTGCCATTCTGATTCTTTCTGAAGTCGATGCAAGGCAGCTGAAGCATTGCAGCCTGGCCTTCCAGTCCTTCAAACCAAGCACTTGCTTGCGATGCACGGAGTTGCAGATCTAGATGTTTCAGCATGCAGCGTCGGGGTAGCCTGGTTCCAAGCGGACACCGGGATGTAGTTGCAATATGAAAAGCTTATATAGCACGAGGAGAGTTTTTGGTGTCAGAACCATGAGCCAGCTGCCAGTACTGCCCACGCTTTGGCTTCGTGACAATTACGGCCTTCGGCCTTGCCTCCATGGCCGCAAAGGTTCAGAGCTTCAATTGGTTGCACTCTGACTCCGTCTCGGCCTGAGCGTCTTTCGAGAGTCTATTCTTAAGGTGACGGTCCTAGGGCTTCTCTGCAGGCCTGCGCAGATGGATCCATGATAGTGGAAACGTGCAGATTGCAATGGGTTGCTTTGAGACGTCCTGCTCAGAGGAGCAGATAGATTCTCTCGATTGGGATAACCTTGGGTGCATAGGTCATAGTTGAGGCAGATGATCATTTCAAAGCCCTTTGCGCATTCTTCCTGTGCTTGATGCCGTGCTCGGGGCACTGCCGTTTTGTGAAAGGCTCTGCGGGGCACTGCCGTTTTGTGAAAGGCTCTGCCTCCATCGGACGTCTGTTCTGAGCCGGATGGACTGAGCTCAGGCTGTATCCTGGCGGACACCGCGTTCTTGTTCTGCGACTCCACACACGGACGCCATGCAAGATTCTGGCGTTCTCGTGCCAAGTGTCCGCTGTTTATCGCAGCTCAAGGCTCCTCTCTTCTTCTCCCTCTCCCATCGTAGTAAAGACACAGTCTTGATAAATTGTTAAAGGTGCGCGGTGTGTGCGGTGTGCGCGGTACGGTGTGCTGCAGCACCTGCTCGAAATCCAAATCCTGAATCTCTTGGCATTGATTGTAGATCTCTTCTTTCCTCTCCGCTGCTAGGCAGAATGCAGACGTCGGCACGGGTCCCATTTTTCCGCGGCTCTGAGGTCTGCACGAGTGTCCGACGCAGGAGGACGGTCTGGCCAGACTTGAGCTGCAGAAGCTCTTGCAACAGTTGCCGCCAAAGGGTGTTTTTGTCTTTGAAAGATGCAGCGCCCGTTTTGTGGCCGAAACCGTGGCCGTGGCCGGCGGGCGCATGGTGCTTTCGAGAGGCAAACTGCTTGGCGCAGAGCGCGTGATGCGGCCAGAAGGCCTGCCTCTCTAAGCGCAGGCCATGGGGGCAGGCGGGGCACGAGCAAGGCAGAGCCCAAGAAGGTAGAAGAGAGGGCTAAGGAGCTGAAGAGTCCGAGGTTGGCGGCGGGGCTTCGCGCCGGCCTCGTGAGCTTCTTCATCGGCGATGAGGCACCGGCCACCGCCCGGGCTTGGCCAGCCCGAAGCTGTCAGGGCCGCCGCTTTTTGGGGATGGCTGTGGCTGTGGACTCTGGACACTTGAAGAAATAGCTCGGAGACGGAGAGAAAGACCAAAGCAAAACAAAAACCGCCTTTGACCGCCTTTGGCCGCCTGAGTTTTGGGGCCTTGGCCTCCGGCCTTGGCCGGGCTCCCCGGGGCCTTTCGCAACCCACTGTTTTCTAAGGGCTGCCCGTTTGCCTCCCCGCCAGACGTTTGGCGCTTCAACGCCCGCACCGCCTTTTCAGCTTTGATCTAGTCTCAGTCTTTCAGTCCCCCCATGCCCCCCCAGGCCCCCCAGGCCCCCCAGGCCCCCCCCAGGCCCCAGCCACCCCTGACAGCCGGAACCCTCTGTCGCTTGCCTTGAGCCTTTGGGGTTTCTGAAGCCACGTGCATTGGCGTAGTGAGTACTTAAGAGCCTCAGTAGGGAATCGCCGCGCTCCTTAAGCCTTAAAGGCGGATACATTGGCGACTCTTGGCGCCCCACAGAGTCCGAGTCTGTGAGAGGGGAGTCTCAGTCCGAGTTTGTGTCTGACCAGCAGATCGCAGAGATCGCAGACAACGACGGCGTCCGCAGCGTCCGCAGCGTCCGAGTCCCATTCGCTCACAGCTTCGGGATGGTCGGGCTCTGCTGAGCCTTCACCGTAAGAAGACAACGAAAGGTCAGCTGTGAGCCATGCTTCCAGAGGCCCTAGCGGGCCTAGCCTAGCTCAGCCAGCCAGCCATGTCTCGGTATCACTCAGTGCGGCAGTGTCCGTCGACTCGGCTTCCGTGTTCTAGCCGTTGCTCTCATCCTCACCGTGTTCCTTCTGGGCCCTAGGCCCAAGGCGAGGTGTTCTGCCACAGTGTCCTGCACCGGTCTAAAGAACGCCCAAGGCACTGTAGGCACCGTGGGCATGTTGCGTTCTTGCGGAATTGGCTGTGCTCTTGGCTGCTGTGCTCTTGGTTGTGCGGCTCTGCGCAAAGGCTCTGAAGCTGCAACTGCTCCGACTGCTCCTGACCCGACACTCCGACCTCTGCCGCTGTTGAGCTGCTGAGGCCGGCTCATCCGCTCAGCTTTGCATGAGGCGTCTTTCAGCTTGTCAAACCATGCAGGCTTTAGGCCCTTCAGGCAGATCGCCAGTCTGTGCAAGTTCCTGGCCGGCGCATCAGCGAACAAGTTTCGTGCAAACTGGCTGAAGCTGGGCGTGCTTTTGGTTTGCCCTCATGTCGAATGCTTGGACTGCTTGCAAGATGCTATTCTGGTGGCACGACGCACCGCATGCGCTGCGGGGCCGAAGAGGCCACTGCTAGCGTCCGCTAGGCACGAGGCAAGGCCGAAGGTACGTCGCTCAAAGTGGCAATGCCTGCACCGGAACAGCAGACAGCAGTAATAGCATCACACACTGCAGCATGTCAATCATGTCAATAGGTTTCCAGGCTGTGAGGGTTTGAGAACGCTCAAAGCTTGCATCGTTAGGCGCAGCTCCCAGGTGCCGGCTTTTACCGAGTTGTCTCGCGAGTGCGACTCAGAGCTGTGGGCTCGAGTAGCTGAGTCCGAGACGGGAGGGTTGGAGTAATACTGACGGCATTGACTGAGCCACTGAGCTGTTCTAAGTTGAAGAATCTTACTTAAGAGTTTAGCCTGCCGCCCCGGCATCAGCAGGGCGTTGGGAAGCCGTTGGCCAGCTGTGCGTCTCTGCGCTTGCAGGGTGCACGAGGGCGCAAGTCGCAAGAGTGAAGCCGGTCAGTTGACTTCGGAAGAAAGAGGCTTACTGGGCAGCATCTAGCACCGAGAAGAGCCATCTAAATCCGTGCGCTGCCGTTCATGATGCCAAGGGTCCGGATGCTTAATTGGAAAACACACTTTGAAGTTTAGATATAGTTTATCCATGTTCATCCTGAGGCGTGTGGGTAAGGGTAGTCGTGTGTGTCAGCTTGCGGCGCAAAGGGCTGCATAGCCTCGCCGTCTCACACGGAAGTGGAATGTCATAGAACCATAGATTGATAGGGCAATCCGAATCATTGGATGGTTGTTTGTTGTTGTGGTGCCCAGCCGTCTTAGATGAATCATGCGACTCAGAGCTTTCTTCTGGTTTTCAGCAACGGGAGCAACTTGCCATGCTCATTGCATCTGTTGCATCTGCCCTTCTTGTCGAAGGGCGAGAAAGTCATGCGGGAAAGGCGTTTTGCATGCGAGTGAAGGCGAGCACCAAGCCTAGGAGGCTTCAGAAGGCTTCCCATGCGTCGCACCTTGCCTAAGAGCGTCCCAAACAAAATTTGGCTTGCGAGAAAAGGAGCAGCGGCACCTGCGTATTCATTTTTGTCCTGAGGCTTGCCTAGATTGTGGTGTTTCCATGTCACATCCATAGCTGGTCCCACGTGCCACCCGCCTTCCGCGGGCCCCTCGGGTGCAAGTCGTGCACTTATCCTCAGTAGCTCATTGAGGACTGGAAGGAAGGGCTGGTTGCGTCCAGCATGCTTGTGATAACCTAACATCTTTGGAGAAATCGAAGTGAGATGCTGCACGGGCATTTCGGGCTGCACTGAGCCTCTGTTTATGCAAGTGCACTGCTCCGCGGGCTGCAACTTTCAGCTTGAAGATGCGTATGTCTGAGTGTCGGGGGTGGCCTTGCAATGCTGTGACACTGTCGCCAGAACCTCTCACTTCAACGAGTTGACAAGCGGCATAGCAAAGGCACAGTTCCGTGTGCAGCTGTGTGTCTCACCGCACTTTTCGGGCAGCCAAGTCTGCGGCTGCAGTGCCCGAAGTGGTCCTCTGTGCCTTTTCGATGGCACTCCGTCTTTGCAGGCCCGACAGGCACCGAGCTCGGACACCTTACTGTGTGGGTGCGGAAGGGTCGCTATGTGGACTCAGCTCGCGACCTTTTGCACAGTGCGTCCAGAATGGCTTTGAGAGCATGCTCATCTAAGTCAATGAGCTGTGAGATGCGGCCTTGCAAAAAGTCCTTGGCGCCGTTCCGCTCAGCCGCACATGGGCTCGGGCTCCGAGTCTGTGACAGCACCGACACTGAGACTGAGAGTCCGGACGCTGCCCATCTCGGAAGGCCGAGCCCAGCATTATGCGTCATATCCTTGCCCCTCTGAAAGGAGTTGGAGCGACCCCAAGTTGCCGGAAGTGTGTCGTCGCCTTTGCCTTGTCGCGCTGGCCCTGACTCTGCACATCCGGGGCACAGGCGCGGCTCACATCACGGCCCGCATCGTGCCGCCTGCTTGACGCTTGCCATCTTGCCCGGGTTGCCGACTCATCTGGCCTCTCCTCGTTCATTCCCTTGTACTCTTGCGCTGCGCGTGGCCTTCCAGCGCAAGCTAGACAGCTTGGGGGATATCGCTCTTTTGTGGTCAGGCCTCCAAGATCGCTCAGGGCTCCCAGGACTGCAAGACTTTGATTTTGTTCACTTCTCTTGATGCCGTCGCTGAAACTCCGCGCCACAAGGCCCAGTGTAGGGCAGAGGAGTCGTCCTTCCAAGTGCCTGCCGCTGTGGCTGCCCACCGCCTCAGCCTCTCAGAAGGAGCAGTCAATGTGCGACTGCCGGGGTGGGTGATGGCAAGCGTTCACCCAAGCAAAACTTGGGTGTCTTGCAGAAAACTTCCCAGATGGTGAGATGAATTCTTGCGGGCGCAAGCAGGCAGCGGTCCGAGCCAAACGGCGGTTTCGCGGCGGCTTTGACCAATGCCGTAGGGGTCTCAGGGTCTTTCCGGTTCCTTGAGGCCTTAAGGCGGCCTTAAGGGCTCCAGAAGCCTCCCGAGCCTGTTGCCACTGCCATGGATGCCCTGTTGCCACTGTCTGAAGAGGAGGCCAGCAGCTGTCGTCTGTCGCAGAGCTCGGGTTTGCCGACGGTTAGTCCCGTGCCGTTGCCGAGCTTGGCACACAAGAAGTCGCCAATGAGGCTGGCCAAGCTTCCCAGCCTGCTTGCCTGCTCACACCTGGAAAGTCGAGCGAACAGTGTAAGAGGCATCTATACTTTTCTCCTTCTGCTGTCTCCTTTGCAACTTCCCTCAAGTTCGCGGTGAAGGTGGAGCTATAGAACCATGGTTTCCCACCGATGCTGGGCTGTCTGGGAGTGCTCGATGGGGATGGTGCGCCCATTGGAGTGCTCACGGCAAGTTGCCAGACTCAGAGCGGATGGCTACAAGAGGATAACACGAGCGCAGCTTCGCCTCGGCACTAAAGTATGCAACTTAACGGCAATTCGCCTCTCAAATGCACTGTCTAAGTCTAGCTAGCAAAGGCTCACCTGAGCAGCGGTTTCAGGATGATGTCTCTGTCTTGATTCCAGACTCCATGACTTCCGCCGCTGTCTCTCTGCCGCTGCTCAGTGCCTCAGTCCATGTAGAAGCCAGTTGTAAGGCTTCAAAAAGGGATTCGGAAGAAGCCATGGGTGCCCTGTTCCTTGCCAGCTCGTGCTCACCTGCTTATGTGTCTTGAATGTACATGCTCCTGCTCGTGCTTGAGCTGCAGGTTTAGTGGAAATGCCCTTGCCCGGTGTGTCCAACAGTCAAGGCGTGTCCTGCACCTCTCGCCTCTCGTGCCCCTTCTCACTATCCTGATGCACCGGCTAAGCGCAGGTTTGCGCACATGAAGAGTGCACAATTGCACGCTCGTCGTTGCACTTAAGGGTTTTTTTGTGAGGGGGCTGCGGCTAAGCAGTGCTAGTTTCCCACAAAACCTCTTGTCTTTGTGGCGGCTGAGGAAGCGAGGCGTGCGGCGGAGCGTTGTGTTTGCACGTTACGCAGCGATGGTCACAGCAATGCGAAGACTTCAAACACCGAGCCTTCGGAGATGCCGCCTCCGCCTCCGCCTCCAAGGCTTTCACTTCCGAAACTGCCGCTTCAGAGCCTTGCCATTTCCCCGTCCTGTTGCACAAACTCCGAAGCACCACCCCCTTCCGTAGGCTCTCTGCCTGAGTCCTGCGCTTGACTGCCGCAGCATGCGCCAGTGCCTGCAGCTGCGCAGCCTGCCAGGCTCCGCTGGCCCGCGCCCAGCGGCACCTGCAGCACGCACTGCGTTGCTTTCGCCAGTGAGACTTGCAGGAACCAAGCGAGTCCTCGTCTTCAGTGCTTGAGTGAGCGAGGCTGCAGGCACTGAGGTTCTGCGGGCATGCGAGGCAGAAAGGAGCTTGCAGGCTTAGCAGGCTCCAGACACAGCTCCGGCATGCCCAGACGATTGTCGCTGTGGGTGTAGCTGTGTAGCTTGCACCTTCATGCACCCAAGAAGTCCACAACGCTTCCAGAGCCTGTTTGGCCACGTTCTTGTATTGGAGCCCTTGCTGTGTCTCTCACCTGTGCGGCGGCAACGATGAATAAAACGCGAATTCTCTGCACCTGTGGCAGTGTGGGCCGTGGAGCTTTCTCTTGCTGCTTCGTAGCGCCGCAGTCTCGACTGCCGCTCCGCAGCCTATGTCAGTGACAAGAAGACGAAGGCCGAGGCTCGCAAGGCTTACAAGGCGTGCCCTCAACCCTGGTCTTCTGCGACGGTTCTTTCAGCACTTTTCCTTCTTGCAACATCGCAATGCTGAGTTTTCCGATCGCTGAACGCCAAGACTGTGCTGTACAAAGTTCTTTCGGTGCTTCGGCCTAGGAACATCACTGGCCAACTAAGCTTCTCGGTCTTCACTGTGGGGCCCTAGACTCCTAGACGTTGCATAATGCATTTGAAGCTCTGCGCAGGTGCCCCGCGACTGAATCCTGAGCCGGGATGCCCTCCAAGCTTTGAGGCAGTTGCCTTCGAACCATGAGCTAGTGCTTCACACTGTGCGAGCAATCCCAGTGCTGGTGCTGTGCCGAAGACTGCCGTCATGCTTGACACTGAAATCCCCAGCCACAAAGGTGCCAGTGCCAGGTGCAGCTTGACCTGTCCTGTGTCAATGAACCTCAGCAGCTTGTGCAGTGCACCTGTCGCGCACGGCCTTGTCGGCACCCGGAGCAGACCCCGCCTCCCCTAACCCCGCACGTCCTGCACTCGCGAGTCTGGAGGATCCATAAGCCAAAGACATTTGCCCGTTGCACTCGCGAATGCTGCTTTTAACCACAGTCAGGAAGCCCACTTTGCCGGCACTCAAGCTTCGCCAGTCCAGCGAGTCGAGCTGAGGTGCTGCCACAGCTCGCAGCTTGCCTGTTCCGTGTGCCCGCCTCGAAGTAGCGTCCGAAGGGCAAGGCAGATCTTGATGCCTGCTCCCTGAAACCACGCAAGTTGCGTTCGCGCCAGAGGCGGTGCTGCCTCGAAGCTACAGGGCCAGGAGCCCGCACAGCCATTTTGATGCTGCTGGCCAGAGCGAATCCTAGCGTAATTGCTATCAGCAGGCTTGTGAGAGGGTGAGCCCTTGATTCCTTGTTCGACTCGACCCCATCATGCCACCGACTTGGGCGCATCGGCTCGTTTGCACATGGAACAAACCAAGTCGACGTACCCGGCACCCTGTAGAACGAACAGAACCTACAAGGTGTTTCAGATGCACAGAGCGCGCAGAGCCTAGACTCATGCTGCTCCGCTTCGCGGCGGGCCCGTTAGTCCATTAGTGCCTGTCCGCCTCGCGCCCGGCCTCGCCCGTCGGCATCTTGCACTCTCAACGATGAAACACACAGGGTTCTGCAGCGCACGAGCTCGATCGCGGCGAGGAAGCCAATGCACTGTCGTATCTGCACGCGGACCAGTCGGCCACTAGCCGTGGAGCCAGACGCTGAGGATGATGCGAGTTTGGTCGAGTAGAAAATGTACTGGTGCCGAGGCGTTTGTCTGAGCTATTTTTAACGGCAGTGATCCGAAGGTGCGGGCTACCCCTACAGCACCTCATTTCTTAGTTTCTTTTCGAAGACCAGCTTCCATAAGCATTGCCAAAGCTGCAGTGCGAAAGGCGCAGTGCCCTTGTCGCTCCCACTGAACCAGAGCAGCCAGAGCATGTTCACGGTGAAGGCACCCAAGCACAGCCCAGAGGGCCCTGCCAGCTCAGGCAGCGCTGACAGCTCGTGACCAGTGGTTTGAAGTCAAGTTGTTGGTACCCGTTTTGAGATAGCATCGTCGCCTCCAGCGCGGCAGCTGCGGACGCGGCGGCTGTGCTGCAACCACCACACCACGACTGCATGCACGAACGAAATACGTCGCTGTGCACCCTTGACACATCCTGCTTGTCCGCCTGTCATTCGGCGTCTTAAGGAGGCTGCGGCCCGGTGACCTGGCGAAGTTGAAGGTGACAGTGCGGCGAGCCGAGGCAGAAGCCGAGGCAGACCGAGCCTTGGCGCAGTTGGGAGAAGTCGGCGGAGGCCCTGGGGGCGCGGTGGGCATTGCTGCCGCGGCGCTTCTCCTCGGGTTCTCCCAGTCAGATTCCCTTGTGGAGCGGAGAAGGGCGGCTACAACACTGAGAATCGCTTCAGAGCGGCCAGCTGCCCTTGAGGCCGCTGCACGACAGGCGGCCCATGCGACTGGCGGCGGCGACGCACGGCGGATGATCTTCTATTGCATTGTCATTTCTCTGGAGAGTGGAAACTGGGGCCTTCTGGAGCTCGCAAGCACGCCCTCCCACAGGCACAGGACCGCAGTGAGTTTCTAGGACCGCAGGGAGGCTAGGCCGCTTTGCTGAAGCCTATGAAAAGTATATGGAACATGTGACATATGAGGCGTATCTCTTCATTATAAGGTAGGTAGCGTTCTCCGGTAGTTGTTTTTGTTCGGAAAGTTTCTGCCAGCTCCCTGGTAGGTCCGGATCGGAGCGCCGGAGCTCGGGAACTCCAAGACGGGGTTGAAACTCCTGGGCCAGGGTCGCCTGGACCGCGATCGCCGTGCCACGGCGCTTTCGGCGCTTTCCTCTCGGAGCCAAAGCCGCTTTTCCGCTGCAACCTGACGGTCACTGCTTAGCCGCGGACACTGCGCTTTCTGGCTTCCAGCCGTCTTCGGCTCTTCGCATAGTGGCCCGATGTTGCACTGCTCTTTGCTGACGCTCACAGCGCGTGGGCATGGAAATCACTGCTGAGATCGATTCGGGGGATCCCCAAGAAAGGAGTTGAAGCTGAAGCCATTGAAGGAGTTCAGATTCAGTGCCATTCTTAACCGGGAGCTGAGGCGAAACCGCTTCGGAGTTCAGCGCTGAAACCGACAGTCGGGGGCTCTGCCACTGCTCTGCCCTAAGCGGCTCGTGACGCATCGCCAGGTGCATTTGAACATTTGGACATGTTGCCCGCCGCGAGGGGTGAAAAGAGTGCTTGTCTGTTCCCACTTGTTTTTCGGAGCGACAACAAGAAGTTGGAAAGGTTTGCCTCTGAGACGGGATGTGTGGGGATGTGCGGCATGTCGAAGTCCCGTTTGGGGTTTGGGGGGTGTCAGTGGGCAGTGAAGTGGGTCTTGGAGCGTTGGATGCTGCTGCTCTGCTTTCATCCGCTTTCCGCCGCTGACATCTCAAGAGTCTCAAGTTGTCGCTGGAGCTCGTGTCAAGTCTAAAGTCTCAGGCTCTTTTCCAAAGGCGATGGATTCTCTCTCTCGACTCTAGACTCTAGACTCTCTAGACTTTAAATGCTAGAGAGACCTCTCAGGTTGATTTTTGGTGAAGCACTTGGACGCCATGGGCCAGAACGGGAAGGGGAAGGGGAACGCCGGGAACGCCGTGCTGTCACATCTGCTCCTCCTGAGCCGCCTGGTGAGTGGAAGGCTCCTGGAGCCGCTCAGAGCGCCTCCGCCTAAGCTCGAAGAACGGAGTCCTCCCAGAGCGGCGGAAGGCGAGAGCCTCGAGCGGGAGGCGTTGGACGGAGACGCTTTAAGCGGCTTGGGCGGCTTGGGCGCAACCGCTGAACTTTGGCTTTGGCAATCCGCCGTCTTAGCTGCAAAAGGCGACAGCGATGCGCCAAACAAGCTATAGAGATAGGCTCACTAGCCTCGCCAGCCTCGCTAGCCCTGGCCTCCTGGCCTTAGATACTCTTTTACTTTGAGCTCATACTGATACTCATGCTTTAATGCTCATCGCGATTTGCAGGTGATCTCCGCTGAGCCGAAGCGCTGAGTGAAGTTTGTTGGCACCAAAGCCTGGGCCGCCTGCTCCGCCGTCTGCGCCTGGCCCCTTGACCGGAAACGCTATAAGGATCTGGACACACCCTTGGGGCGGGCGGGCGTCTCTGTGTGTGTGTGTGTGTGTGTGTGTGTGTGTGTGTGTGTGTGTCTGTGTGTGCGTGTGTGCGTGTGCCGTAACACATTTCTACCAAAGGGGTATATGGGCTTCAACCTGAAGAGGCGCGGCGCAGAACCAGTTAGAAGGGCTGCCAGGATGTTCGTGTCCGCCAACGAAGATCTCGCGTTCATGATGCCATCCTTCTGTGCAAGCAAACTTGCGCCTCGATCATGATGAGGTTTGCTGCATGCCCGGTTGCAGCACTCTTTTCCCCACGAGCAGCAAAGCTGATGCAGCAATGCAGCTGACAGATTCGACCAACAGGACGAAGCATGTAATGGTGTAATGGCAGCAGGAAGGTTGCCATCATCTGCCATCTTGACTCCCTAACTTGGGAAGTTCTGAGCAAGGTTTTGCCATTATGCCAGCGCGGCATGCAAACCCGAAAAAATGCTTACAGTGCAAGAAGCTTCACGTCAAAGCCCCAATTGAGAGACAACCCCAGTGTTACGAAGTTAATAAGCGCCGTCAACGTTTTCCAGTGTGGAGGTTTGAGAATACTAACGATGTACTTGTAGGATGTAATTTGGTGTTGCTGTTGCCTCTCCTTGGTCCCCTCCTTTGGCTGCGTATGTTTGCTCAGAGTTCCTTCGTGCATCCATGTGATGCTGCATCTGCTGAGGAATTGGACAATGAACGGCCCGATGTAGCAAGATCGTCCGGAGGGCGGATGTGGTGAGGCTGGTGTCGTTGTTTCGTGTTCACTGCGCATCGTTTAGGGGGGTTATTGCTTCCAGGCCTGAAGTCCTGGCTTCTGAAACTTTAAGGGTTCTGTAACCTTGTGAAGTTGCATCATTCTCGCATCGGCAAAGGCCAAGAGTCCCCACGGTTTGACTGGCAAGGGCCCTTCTGCAGCGCACTCGCCTCAGTGTTTCGGGAAAGAGCGGGAGTAGAGCAAACAAGATCAATCACCTCCCCAGTCTCACTCTCAAGAAAGCATTCCATTGTGACGTCAAGGTGATCTGTCCAGTCTTGAGCCAATGCCATTCAGCATCAGAGCTCATGTTCATTTGGTGCATCATTGGGCTCATGTCTTTAACACAGTCTCTTTATCCTGAGTTTAGTCGGGGATCTTTAAGCATTTGACCATCATATACGGCTGCATTCGCGAAGCGATCAAAAAACATTCGAAACAGCAAATACTCAAAGCTGCGAAGGATGATTGGCCTCAGTCGGGACATGTTGGCTCGACTCGGATGACATTCGAGTCAGTGCTGTCAGGCATTTGGAGGCGGACTGCACTATACGAAGCAATCGTCAGCAGTCGGCTCAGATCCATTCACATTGAATCCAAGAATTCGACAGAAAACTTCATTCAGCATTTCAACATAGACTTTCACATTGAGCTACAGTCGCTGGGCACTGGCTGATTCATCTGCCGGCTCAGTGCGATCTCACTTGACAGTGCCCTTGGCAGTCTTGTGCAGGACAGTCTCCGCACCGGGCTCGAGAGCCTTGTTGGCAGTCTGCGCAAGCGCATGCACAGCGGCGGCATTGCGATCATTCGGGCCCTTCGCCTGCGTTGTGGCATTCCAAGCATTGGCTGCCGCATTGTCCTCATTCTCGTAGATCTCGTTTTAGGTGGAACAGTCATGCATCAGTCATCAGTCCACCTCCAATCGCCTGATTCAAAGGCACTATAGGGTATGCCCCATCAAGCACCATTGTTTAAACTGAGGAGGATCGTCGGGCTGGGCACGCGCATGATGTTATCCAGTCATTGCTGCCAACTCCTTCCCATTCGTGGGTGGAGACATGGTCAATGAACTGTTAGGCAGTTTCATTCTGGCATTGCCGCTGGCATCTCCAACAGTTCATCGGCGCATTGCCTCCACTCGTGTTGCTCTGAACACTACGAAGGCAATCGGCTCCTCATTCTCATTTGGGTCCACCGCTTCTTGGTTCGCCCATTGCACAGTCTTCCTCAGTGCCGACAGTGCCGGGAATCGCCTCAAATCCAACCAGCCATTCCGGAACAGTCCATTCGCCAGGCTCAGTGGCAAGCAATGTCGTCGACATTCACCAGCCGGTCCGTCGCGTTGTCCTTCGCGAACGAAGGAAGGAGCCATTCCACATGGCAGTTCCCAGTCACTCGGCTTTCGTCATTGTGACCCAGCTGGTTTCAATCATCCAGCTGTTGGGTTCATTCTGCTCTGGGTTGATTCCTCAGTTGGGTGATGGAGTCTTGCTTCTTACGGGGGCCTTGTCCTGGACCCTTTGGCACTTCCGGGTCTACCATGATGCGGCACAGGCCCAGCAGGGAGTGGCCAATGCCATCACGGCAATGGACTGTGGACCTGATCTCACCCGTGTCTTGAATGAGCTGGATCGCTACATCACGACTGCGGTCCAGAATTATCGCGGGAGTGGCTGAACCGACGATCTCGCCAAGCGGCTGCCCACTGCCCCGGTTGTACCGCCGAGAGTGGCGAGCAGCACTCGTGCAAGTTCCTCACAACTTCGACCACAGAGCTCCTCAAACGAGGAAGAATCGAGAGAGAATGGCAAGGTCTTATGGGGATAAAAAATACAGTGCAGCAGTGCGTCCCAGGCTCCACCATTCAGGGCAGTGCCATTCTCAGCAGCGGTGCCCAAGGCCGGAGTGGAACCTTCATCCCCGCCGGTCGGCGGATCTGCAGTCTCACGGGCGGGCAGTCGCCGCAAATCCAGCCTCCCGTCTAGCAGTCCGCCAGACATGTACAGTGCGGCCAGTGTCGTCTGGACTCGTCAGTCTTCACAAGAGTCGCAATCTACGTCGATCGTCGCTAAGGAACATTCAGTGGAGACATTTCGCGGAAACACATTGATCTCAGTCAGCAACACAAAGACCAAGGCAGTCCCTGGCATTGCACTCTGTACATGCAGATCACTCGCAGCCGCTCCGCAAAACATTTCGGTTGGATTTCGGCGAAAAGGTTAATATTTTATTCGGGCGAAATCGGCCAACACAAGCGGCAAACAATCGGCATTTGGAATTGGACGAAAAGCGGAGAATCTTCGGCGCAGTTCTTCAGCCCCTTCGGGACCGAACCGGCGTCCTTCCCTGGGTCGGAGAAAGCATTTCGGCAATGGAAGAGACTTCATCTCTTTCTTCTTTAGTTTTGGGTTTTTGGGCAACGCAAAGCACTGCACATGCAGTCGTGACAAGATAGCTGCAGTCACTTCACACTAGACAAGACAGCAGTGTGACATGTCATGCAATATCTCAGGCACATTGCAATCACCGCGGCTCACCTACACAGCCCCTCGATCGGCGTGGACTTCAGTCCAGCAGCGTCTAGAGAAGCAGTGCGCGCAGTGCGTGTAATCCTGGGCAGGACGTGCGGCGGGGTAGGGCAGGCCATTCCCAGTAGGGTGGTGGTCGGGGATGAGGAGGCCGTTGAGCCGCCGGCCGG